CAGGCTCCCCCGCCCAGCCCCCAGCCCAGGCTGGACCCCAGCGGGAGGAGAGGACCCCCCCAGCCCAGGCTGGACCCCAGCGGGAGGAGAGGACCCCCCCAGCCCAGGCTGGACCCCAGCGGGAGGAGAGGACCCCCCTGGGCTCACCCACTCACCGGGTGCACGTCGAGGAAGAGCGCGTGCTGCTCCTTGCTGGGGTGCAGGCCTTCGACAGCGTTCACCAGGGCTGGGTCACCGTTGTAGAAGTGAGGATGGGAAAGGAACATCGGTGCATCTGGAGGAGAACAAGGACACCTTTAGCTCATCCAAGCCCATCTGAGAATTTTTGTTGAGGTTTTTAAGCCACTGCAGCATTTTCTCCTGAAGAGGCTTTCATATTCTTCTCCTCCCAGCCAGAAAGCTCCTTCCCTTCCCTCCCTGCAGCCTCTTCCATCGCTCTGGGACGGTTAAGACCTGGTGTTAAGCCACCTTCTCCCCTCAAGCTCCACACAAGGCCATGGTAACTCCCTGTACCCAGACACGGGTTAGGACATGAAGTCCTAATTCTCCCTCCTGCATGACCTGCACTCAGTGTCCAAAGTTAACATTTAATTTGACAGTTACGTGGCCTGCCTCTTCCCACCCTTGCCCCCCTGCCCGCTCCCTCCCCAGCCTGGGGGATGCAACGCTCCCATCATATCCTTGGGCATTCCCAAAAAGCCAGGCTTTTGCAGGGCCATGGACTGAGGGAACTTTGGGCACAAGGATTTTTCCCCCTTCCCCTCCTTGCTGAGTTGCCTACGGGAGTGCAGGGGAGAATGTTGTGCACGCAGACCCCGGTGGCACCTTTTAGCACTCTGGCAGACAGCAGAGCCAGTTTTCCAGACAGACAAGCCCATATCACATCCTGACAGTTTCATATTGGCACGGCAGGAGAACTTCGGGAGGAAAGGACTTACTTAGCCTACAGCTACTGATGTTCTGGATGCCAGACTGCATGCAAGGGCAGAAGCCTTCATTGGGTGGATAGTCCGTGCCGTTGGCAAAGAGAGTTTTCGGTGCCACGAAGCGATAGGTGGGCACACCCTCAAACTTCCCGGACCGTTCATACACCAGTGTCATGGATCTGGAAGGGTTTCCGTGGAGAAGGATCAGGATTAGCCAACAGGTTCCCAGCCCAGAACCGGGCTCTTATCTTCGCTGGATAAGATGCAGTTGCAATGTAACTTAGACTTTGAGATCATGATAAACACTCCAAGCAGTGCTTTGGATGGGGAATGAGTATTTAAGCCGTTTGCTTTCCATGTTTTAAGCACAGACAAAAGGTTGGTCAGGACTAGTTATGGAGAGAAATCACAGGCTTATAACTCTGTTTGCAGTAGCCAGATGAGACTTGTTTAAAGGCACATAGTAATCCCCAAGGCTGTTCTCCAAGAGCTAATACCCTCTTTGTGCAAGCTTTGGCTCCGAGGTGCTGTCACAGGGGATAGATGCTGGCTAAATCTCTTTTGCAGCACAACTCCAGCATAAAGGCTGTCAGGGGAGTGGAAAATTTTACTACATTATACAGCAAGATTTTTTTTTTCCTTGATACTACAGGCTAGTGATGTTATGCTGCATCACTGCTACCAGCTGGCCAGCACAGATGCAAGTTTCCAGGGGGGAAAGTTTGCTGCCTTCACACTCGAGTGAGGCTTGCAGGGATGCAGACAGCCTGGGCAGGCCAAGGGGATGTTTGTTCCTACAGCTGCCTTCTGAGGAGCAAGGATGGGGGATTTGGGTGCATTCAGTTACATGCGTGCCTCCTGGCTGTGCTCCTTCCCGCGGCTGCTGTGGCACTGCAGCAGGATAAAGCCTTGCCTACCTTGCAGGGACATCCAGGTAGTTGCAGCTCAGCATCAGCTGCACTTCATGTGCAGACAGCATAGGAGATGAGCCCTGCAGATACACTTTTAGTTTATCAACCGATGTTTGTGACTCCTTCCTAGCCAGCCGGGCCAGCAGAGAGGCCGAGACAGATGTGGGAAGAGGAGACGGCACTGCCTGGTGAAGAGGCAGAGCCACTTCCCCCACAGCACTGTCTGGTAGGAACCTCCTGCCCTAACAAACCAAGCTTGGTCTCCTCCACTTCACTTTATGCCTTGTCTGGAAACATGCTCTATTCCCTTGAAGACTTCTGTAGTTTTACAGAAACAGGTACGTGTGTTTCAACTGTGATTACCAGTAAACTTCCCTGCGAGTCCTTGGCTCCAGCTCATTTTGGTATTTGCTGATCTCCCTTGTGTAGGGGAATTCATGCACTAACGCTCGGCTCAGCTGACTTTGCGTGTTCGCTGAAGAGGTCATTGATCTCTATCCAACAGGAGCACTTGCTTGTTTTGCAACACTATCTACAAAGCCTGAATTAACATTATCTTCCCCAAACTGGGGACAGGGTTTTGTGCCTCCGGGCCTCCCTCCTTTCCAGCCCCAAGGAGTTTCTACGCAGGCAGGCTCTGCGGGGCACTTTAACCCCTGTGGGACCAGCAAAGGTGAGGAACAGGCTGTCCTTACACAGGACAGACACGCACAGCAGTGTTTCTGTAAAAAAAAAAAAAAAAAAAGCAGCAGCCTGAAAACGGTGGCACAAGCCCCCCTGACATCCCTTCTGCATGCGTTTAGTCAGCTGAAATACTTCCACAAATACTTACAGCTGCATTTCCTTATAGCAACCCTTACTTCTCCCTCTCGCCTCCCACATCTTATCTAGACTGGTTATTTTCTACTGATTCAACACGGGCAAGTTAGACTCCTACAGTGATCGGGAAGGTATTTATCAATACCACAAGACACTGCTAATTAGACAACTACACTGTTTGTAAAGCTCAGACGCTGCGACACTGAACTGCAGCTGATCTTTAACTCCAGAAACAAGTCTTGAGCCCTCCGCGTCACTGCACGGGTACCCTACGTGCATGGGACGAGCATCACATCTCCTGCCACCTGCACAGGGACAAGCCGGCAGCTGTGGCCTCACCTGCAGGCATCAGGGCTGTAGAATTCCATGGATGTTGGGGACATAAACGGTGGCCACATCTCCCCCGCGGTCCCATTGATCATGTTGCACTCGTCGCTCCGCCAGTAGTTCACCTGCGGGACAGATGTAGGGAGAAGAGCTCAGAACGACGAGCTTGCTGGGGATTTGGCTGCCACCCCTGCATGGGACATCTACCACTCCACACTGCTTCCACAGCAGCTTGAGATGGCAACACTGAGTAGTTTCCAACATCTTTCCCATTCAAGGATCTGCCCCATTAATGGAAAAACAGGACAAGATCCCTGTCCCAAGCGCTTCCTAAGTGGTTGATCTCTAGATCCAGTTGATTTTAACTAGGAGTGGAATTCCACAAGGGAAGAATAAGCACCCCTTTAGCAAGGATATTTAAATAACAGCAGGCCACCTCGAGTCTGGGACTTCAACCATTCCAAGCAAACAGCTCCATCAGCACTTCAAGGGAGTCCAAGTGACACTGATAAGCTGAAGTTAATGCTTCATGACATGCCTCGTCATACACGTGCCTTCTGGCCATTTGCTAGAGCAGAAGTTGCAGCAGTTGAAGTTGTGTGGAAGCTTGCCCTCAAACCTACAACCCACAGGTACAAACGTAGCGAGAGCTTTCAGTTTATCCTGCTTTAGACCAGGGATTGCCTCCATATTAGAGGTTTGCTGCCCGACACACCTTCTTTCGTCCATTCCATGAATCCACCATGTGAACTCTACTGATGTTCTTCATGCCCGTGTTCACTGTGAACAGTCCCGAATTGGAGTTGTTCAGCTGCAGAGAGAAGAAACTAATTTTTATTCCACTATACACAGGAAGACTGCAATATGTTAATGATTTTGCATGCTTCTGCAGCTCTAGGGGTGCTTCACACGGAAAGCTACTGAGCTTTGATTTCAGTTGCCAGTAACAGCTTCCAACACATGCATTTCTGCTTGAGGGGACAATTAAGGCAGCCTTACACAACCACCACTAGCTACAGAAGGCTGCTCCCGTGTGTGAGGGGGATAGCCCAGACCAACACTGCCAAGACAGACCCATACCAATAATCCCAAGACCAATACTGCTATGATTTTAGTGTTCCCAAGCAGCAGTCTGCTTACCTGCAGAAGTATGCCAAATTTCCCCTTGAAAGGGATCAGGCCAGGAACAATCACATTTATTGCCTCTATTAGAGGGTCTTCATATCCCCACATAATCTCCTTCACCGTCCGGTTCATGAATGCCTCCTGTTTCAGGCCAGCCAGGGCTCCACTCAGTAAGAGCTTCACAAAGTTTGGCAGGTTTTCCATCATTACAGCCGCTCCCTGTGAAAGAAAACAAACCTCTGAGATAAGAGCCCCATCTTTACCAAAGAGGAAGCAATGCATCTTTGGTGCTTGGCAAGGTCCTCCTGCCGTACCAATCTACAGCCCTAGAGAAATCCTTTGGACAAACTGAAGTTTACCATTTATCCCAAGTTTGGTAAGAAAGCAGTTGAGGGCTCACAGGCTTCCTTTCCCCTGAGGATGCTCAGATGAGGTTGCAGACGCGAGCCCAGCCGCTTTGCCAGCCCCTCTGCACACTCTGCTTTTGGAAGGGTAACAGCCCAACACGACAACCAACACTCAGAAAGCAGAAGACTATTTCATAAGCTTAACCACCTCATGGGTTCATTAGTCTTAAGCCCTACAAGAAAGTCAGCTTTGAGTCAGTATTGGGCATCATTGCCCTCCCCGTAAGCTCAGAAGTTGGTACTCATCCAGGGAGCGGGTTCTTACCATCATCAAGATGTTTGGCACAACAATGTACTCTTCTTCGCTGCCGTTGGACAAGTCCGGCTGGAAGAAGAGTCTCCGGTACTCCAGGAAGGAGACAGTGTCATTGTCATGAAATGTGATATTTGATTTATACCTGTACTCTCTGCAAAGAGATGAGAGAGATCATGGGTACCTTCCCCCCACGCTGTGCCCCTGCAACACCTGAGCCCTGGGCTTGCTTCTGAAAAGCAGGAGGAGGACATTGAACCCCAACCAGAAGCCATGATACAGCAGAGGAGGCAGCGTGCCGGGGAGCAGGTGGTGTCAACCTCACCCCCCAACCAGGGTTTGGGTCTAGCAGGAGATGGCAGCCTGGGAGCAAGGCATCCCTGACAGATGGGATTCTGCAGCAACTTGCAGACACCAGGTGCTTCTTCCCAGCTGACAAGAAATCTGAGACAAAAGCATAGATACCTGCTATCACTTCGCCTACAGATGCTGAAACTTCCAACCCTATCAGAGATGCCCAGATAAGCAAATCTACACCAACTCACAGCTAAAATAACCTGCAAAACAGAAGAGGACCAAACAAGACTGCACAAGCCCCACCAATGAGCCCACACTGATTTGCCCCAGAGCTCCCTGATGGCTCTCAGGTTCAGGGCAGCATCACGGCTCTCCTGCTCCTCAGGGCTTTGGGCCATGCCACCTCCTGAACACAGCCCAGCACCGCTCCCTTTTGCTCTGTGCCACGGGGGCAGCCCAGTCTCATGGAGGCTGCGATACTCCACGGTAGCACAAGGTCATCCCTAACACTGCAAGCCTGTTACAGCTCCCGAGGGAGCTGCAGCTCAACCCACCAGCAAAAACAAAGTCCTTCATCGCGGAGCCTCTGTTTTATGGCCCACATTAGGGAAGGGCACTAATCTTGCTCAGCATGAACACAAGGACACTAATAAGCTTTACCCCTTTGTTCATTCTTCTTTACAGTAAGTGAAGCCTTTTCCCCCAGCCAAGTGACTGATGTGATCACAACATACGGCATCCACATGGTCTTATGGTGTGACCTGGCAAGCCCAGGGGAAACAAGGGCGTATACATACCACTACGCTTCCCCCCGGTGCTGCTCAACCAGCTTTGGATTAAACCAGTAAGCTCCCCACATGAGCTTGCTTAGGCTGCTGACCTGACTTTGCCTACATGTGTAGGCACTAATGTGTTTAATATTGCTATTGACAGGCAAGTTCACACGCTCCATTTGACATCAACCATCACTTCTCATTTCAGGTCCAGAGAAGCGTGTGGGGCTTCAACCACCATCCTCTGCCATGGCAAACAGACCCAGCCCTGCTGTAGGTGGACCTGACCAAGTTTTAGTGCTCCATACTGGCTGTCATGACCAGAGCATTCACGTTAGGCAGCTTCTGGGTCTCATGGTAGATAAGAGGCCTTTGGCCAATCCATGACACTTGATATTGAGGTAACTCAGCTGCAGAGCTGGAGTCAAATTCACAGTGACGATGAAACAAGTCCACTCTGACGATGAGAGTTGCCCACCACCACACCAACACCCCTCATGCCTTTGTTTGGATCACATCAGCCCAGATCTGGCTACCCAACAGGTCCCAGCATGGGACTGAGCTCCACAACTCAGTGAAGCACAGACCAGCCTTACCACCCCGGTGCCCAGAAGTCCCACTTGTGGCTTCAGCAAGATCAGAGCAATTAGAGCACATTTGGGTTGCTCTAAAGTCCTACGCCACTGGACTCGCACCAAGTATGAGAACATCATGCCCTCCTGCCAGGGCAGTCGGCCAGAAGCCTGACAGGCAGCACGATGGCCAGGCTCATGCCAAGCTGGACCGTAAGCAGTACCTGACCTGTAAACATAGGGCCCACGCTGGTTCAGCACCGGCTTCGCTCCCTTGAGGACATCGTTGGGGTTCAGCACTTCAAAGAAGTACACCGACATGTAGAAAGGAACGGGAATGTCTTTCCACATGCCGAAGGAGATGCTGCTGGGGTCGATCCTGACATTCTGCAAGGAAAAACAAAAAAAAGAGTAAGGAGACACAACTCTCAGGCTCGGTGGCTGCAGCTGAGCACATCCACCCTCGGCTCCATGTCAGGCCCAGCCAAAGGTGATGGTTCCAGCAAGGACTCTTCAGAAGATCCAGACGTGTTATGCAGACTGAAACCAAGCCAGATCTAAACCAGGAACTCTCGCAGAAGCATTGAGTCGATGCCATGGGATGTCTGTAGGCTTATTTATTCTGGCTCCACTTTCTAGATCCTACCCTCAGGATTTTGGAGTTCTTTTGATGTGCTGGAGACTCACCCTGCGCTAGACGAACCAGCACTGAATTATTCACAGCTTTGCATGTTTGGCTCACCTGGCACAAACAGTCCTGTCCCAGAGGCCTCCACTCACCTGTCAGGTTCGGCAGCTCCACGCAGCCAGAAGCAGGCAAGGGCTGGGGGAGATGACACACGTCTGCACAACTGTTTGGGTACCAGCAAGCAGGGCCCGCTGAATTCCCAAAAAGCAGACAGAGAACTGGGATGGGGACCCAGCTGTGCCCACGCAGGACAGCTTTGCTTCCTCTCGGCTGCCATCCTGCGATGACTCACAGCTGGTCATAAGACTGGTCAAAGGCAATGCACAATCCTGGTTTCCATATCACTGTCCCATCTGCTGCGAACTGCCTGCAGGAGCCCAAACGTGACTTAAGCCCTCACCAACTCCCCAGCCCAGCAGCTGGCTTCTGGACACATCTGTCCCTGCTCCCTCCCTGCCTCCCAGGAGCTGCCTTATGGACCACAGCCTTTTCTTCTCAAGCGTTCATTTCAGGTGTGTTCCACCGTAACATTTACTTCCTTGGCAAGCACAAGACCTCGCTGTAGTTAAGCAACCCAGCCAGCTTACGGAAGAGGGTGGTGAAGGCATGTGGGCATCACCCCACTGCAGCTCCACAGCCCCATAGCGGCTCTCCGGCCCTGGAGCACCTCCATCTCACTGTGCACTGTGCTCCTTTCCCTCTACACTGCCCTAGGGAGGCCCCATCTGGAGTACTCTGTCCAGTGCTGGGCTCCCCACTTCAAGAAAGATGAGGAGCTACTGGAGAGAGTCCAGCGCAGGGCTACAAGGATGGTGAGGGGACTGGAGCATCTCTCCTATGAGGAAAGGCTGAGGGAGCTGGGCTTGTTCAGCCTGGAGAAGAGAAGGCTGAGAGGGGACCTTAGAAATGCCTACAAATATCTGCAGGGTGGGTGTCAGGAGGACGGGGCCAGACTCTTTCCAGTGGTGCCCAGCGACAGGACAAGGGGCAATGGGCACAAACTGAAGCACAAGAAGTTCCAGCTGAACACAAGGAAGAACTTCTTCCCTCTGAGGGTCACGGAGCCCTGGCCCAGGCTGCCCAGGGAGGTTGTGGAGTCTCCTTCTCTGGAGATATTCCAGACCCGCCTGGACAAGGTCCTCTACAGCCTACTGTAGGTGACCCTGCTTTGGCAGGAGGGTTGGACTGGGTGACCCACAGATGTCCCTTCCAACCCCTACTATTCTGTGATTCTGCATGTATTTGCTGCCACAGGGGATCAAGAAGGAAAAGCTGACGGAGGCTTCCCCGCAAGGGCCCATCTTTCCGGAGCCATTTCACAGCAAGGCTGTGCTACCCACAAGCAGCAGGGCTTTGCAAGCCCCTCGCTGAAGCCGAGCTCCTCCTCCAAGCCCTACCCCTGAGGGGACATCTCCACAGCGCAGCGTAACCCACCTAGCAAACCCTTCCCACCTCCACATCAACGCCCACACGCTGCTGGCAGAGAGCTTCCATCCTGCCAGCCTCAAGCATTTCATGGCAAAGCAGCAGCGATTGGACAAGTTTTTATTTAGCCTGCTTTGTAGTCCTTACTCCTGAGTGTCCAACAGAGCCTGGACACCAACATCTGCTTTCCTTTTCTTGCTTATTCAGTCTCGCGCTCCCTGGATCCCTTGTTGCACATGCATTTATTCATTTAATACGTACGCAGTCAGATGGGGCCACATCCCAGCTCCCAGCTCCCTTTCTCATCCCCCTCCCATCTGGGCACAGCAGCTTAAGGTACTCCACAGACGCTGCTAAGTAAGATCTACTCAACAGGGTAGCCTTAGAATTAAACTACTTGCAGGTCAAAACAAACATGGTCATATGTCTGAAATAAAAATAGCATATTTTTCACTTAGAAGGGTTACAAAGTGTCACCGAGAGGTTTGACCAGGCTGATGTCTGTTCCCAAGGAACTGGCTACTGCTGGTCTCCTCCAGACAGGACCAGAGGAGCAGCAGCTCCACCAGCAGTGCCCAAATCCCGCTTCTCCAGAAAGAGAAGCAGCGGTCTTCAGCCACCCTGCTCAGTAAACCACAAGAGTTGAAGTTTCCTCTTCAGATGGAGAGGAGCACTCATGCTGCACAGAAGTGCAACCTCAGCGTCAGACATCCTCCACATCCTCTCACCACTGTCCTCACCACCCTGCTAAGCCAGCAACGACAGCGCTGCGTCTTCTCCCAGCTTTCAGGCAGGACAGCACAAGAGTGCCCAGTTAGAGCAGAAGTGTTGAGTGACAGACGGATGAGTTGATGCAGTCTCACCGCGTTAAAGCTCCTACCTTAGGCAGGTGCCTAGCACTCCACAAAAGCGACGTCCCCAGGTTTTACAGCACCAGCACCGCAGGCAGCCCGGCTGCCAGGACAGCTGCTGGTGCAGATTCAGTTTCTGCAGATGGGGCAGGAGATGATGGGCTCCAAGTTCCCTGTTTCTACTGCATGTTCCCCCACAGGCTTTACTCAAAGATATCCCCAAAACAACAACCTGTTCTGCAGCTAAGTGCTTTTCCATCAGGATACACCACCTCGACCTTCTATGCAGATCTTGGGAAGCCAGGACTGGCAAGCCAGCCTTCACCTGCCCAACCCCTGCCACCAGCCCTTCAAGGCCCAGCTCTCCCTCTTACCCACCTCTCTGAAGACCAGCCCAGGAGTTTCAGTTAGGCCCCGACTATTTATCACCACCCTAGACATCAGCTCTCCGTTACTTCGTTCCATTTCATGTTAAGACTCATAAGAGCTCAGGACCATTTGGATCATGCTGAAGATGTGGAGACCAAGGGCTTGAGACGAAGGGAGACGTGAGGGGAAACTAGGGCTGGTCTTTTCCTCATCTTCTGTTCTCACTGCAAGTTCTTAGGAATTAGCTAATCAGGCGGAAAGAATCAGGACTGGCTAAAAAGAGGGCAGAAAGGTTTTTTCACCAAAAACGTCACTCCTGTTCTGCAGGGGCCATTCAGCCTTTTCTTTGTAGGCACCAGGTCCTGATCTTCATGAAACTGGACGGGGATTGACTTTTACTGCTTAAGCCACAGGACTGTCTGGCTCTGCCCAGCCAGCAGCACTCCCAGAGGACACCTTTCCGTAGAATTTTGTTTGTGGCAGACTTTGCTGCACACCTAG